CCCCAAAACCCCAAAACCCCAAAACCCCAAAACCCCTAACTAAGATATTTTATTTGAAATTTAGTGCTAGATCTTAAATTTAGGATCAAATAGAGTCACAGCTGTTGCAAAGGCTACAAGAATACTCATAGGGTATCTCAGCTTTATTTCAAACTCATTTTTGTCCACTTTAACCTGCTCAATCAATAATTGATCACTGTGTTTCCATTTCACCTGGAAATTCTTTGAGCTTGAGATAAAGACATCATGGTGACTGAAGTCTATTGCGTAATCCTTAGTATCTTCGTTATAATAAGGCTCTACACTAGTAAACTTAAGATCATCTGGCTTGATCTGGGGAGCTTTATTACTGTTCTTGCTCTCTTCTTGTCCTCTGGGAGCTTTGAGTATAAGGGATTTCATAGTCTCAGAAAAATTGAGGTCGAAACTTCTTGTGCTGGTAGGATTGCTCTTCTTTGTATTGAATTCGATATGGGCGATTTCATTGTTCATTTCAGAATCAATCACGTGGTTTAGCAAGCTATAAACCTTCTTCTTTTCTAGAGATTATGAGGTCTGCTTACTCTTGATTCTTCCCATATAGCCTTCATCTCCCTTTTTGAAGGAATTTTTAAGATTGCTGATGTGGAAATAATATGCAGTCTTGTAGAACTTAGAAAGTGGCTTGGATTGAACTCACTTATTTTGCATTGAGAAGCAGTTTTTGAGAATCGAGAGTTTCGAGAGTCAACACTGGGGAGAATTTCGACCATAAACCTGACTTCCTTTTAATTTTTAGAGTTATAGAGTTGAGATATTTTGGAACTGGGCTAGCCAGCATATCTCTTCTTCTCTCAGAGTTATTATTCAAAATTGAGCTAAAATTAATGGCAAGGGAATACTTTAGATATTCTGTGATTAAGTCATCATCTGACTTGAGGTTGTAGTTGATCTGGTTCCTAAAAGCTATACAAAGACGATTACTTCAGTGTATTGACCATATTCATGCCAATCTTAGAGGCGTTAGTGACGCTGTGATCAACCATATTAATACTGCCATTTATAGGTTCTTCAGTCCTATGATTTTTGTTGAAGCTGCCTTCATAATCGATTTCATTGTTTTCAGCCTATAAAGTCAAAGCAGCAAGCTCACATCCATATTTCTATTCATGGATGTGTCCCAAGCTTGGGAGATACTTCTTTTATGGTTTTCCAGAGGAATTTTTTGCATTTTATTTTCTGTTTAATGTCAGATTTATCCAAAATTTACCTTCTTCGAGTTCACCCTTTCCAAAAGCTTTCTTTTCTGAGGTTATGAAATTGCCCTAGAGGGTAAGCCGAGCCACAATTTATGAAGCTTGATATGTTTATAATATTGCGAATTTTCAACTTAAGAAAAATTTTATCAAACTTTATCTAGTTGTCGCACAGTAATCGAGTCTCAGGAAGGTTTAAGAATGTCCGAGCTTACTTCTTTTGGGTAAAATTCCGGACCTTTGTTGGGAAGGCCTCTATCTTCATCTCTTGGCGCTAAGTAGGAAATTAACCATCGAACTGTATGCTTAAGATTGTGTCCCGATCAACATGATCCTCATGACTTACTATCTGTATCTGAATTAGACTCTTGGTTGTAAATTTGGTCTATAAAAAGTTAACCTCATGACTTCTGTGGATTCTGAAAGAGCAATGACTCACCCATATTGGAATATTATTTCTAAATTTCAATATTTTTGCTGAACAACGGGGTTTTGGGGTTTTGGGGTTTTGGGGTTTTGGGG